GGTTCAATTTGCTGAGCAAGAAAACGCATTAGTGATATCTGCGCGCGCGCGGACACACACACACACACACACACACACACACACACACACACACACGCACACACACACACACACGCACGCACACACACACACACACACACACACACGCACACGCACACGCACACACGCACACACGCACACACACACACACACACACACACACACACACACACACACTTGACCTAACTTCAGTGTGCTGCGTATGACTGTAATCGAACACTTAGGAGACGTTACTGTGAAGTTCAACAAAGGTCAAAGTCAAAAGTCCTACTTTTGTGTGTGTGTGTGTGCGTGTGCGCACACACACACACAGAGAGAGAGAGAGAGACAATCGCCTTCCTATAGCTAGTAGCGCCTTTGCCTTCGGGCTGCTATCTTCATTGCAAGCACCTCAATTTTTCTTTCACGAACAACGCTGCATTTTTGTTCTGAACAAAAGGTGCTGACGTCGACACCACCGACATCAAAATTTCAACAAAACTAGATCTTTACTGCTGTCGCATCAAAATGCAACCGCTTTCCTCGCTGCTGTCGGGGCATTCATATCAGAACAACACTGTTAGCAAAGAGGCTGTATAAAGAATTAGATAATCAATTTTCATTACAGCAGTCACTGATGTCTTATTAATTGACATCCATGTACGTCCTGCAATATCGCGCGTAATAAAACAACCAGGCTCCATGCAATAACCTTCTACACCCGGATCGAGTCGCTCACCAATTCACTCGAGATACGCTTCCATTCTGTAAGACACCAATAGGCACGTTCATTCCAACATGAACGCTGTTCGTTAAAAGTAGATTACATATCAGTTTTATCAGAATGGCCCACCCTCTGCGAGCGCCATCTGTCACATCAAACGGAAACAGCCCAGGAGGCGAACACAATCTGGACGCGGCGCCAGGCGCAGTGTCATCACCTAACTTGATCTTACACCGTGCTCATAATCAAATGGTGATGATGATGATGATATGTGGGGTTTAACGTCCCAAAACCACCATATGATTATGAGACGCCGTAGTGGAGGGCTCCGGAAATTTCGACCACCTGAGTTTCTTTAATGTGCACTCAAATCTGAGCACACGGGGCTACAACATTTCCGACCCCATCGGAAATGCAGCCGCCGCAGCCGAGATTCATAATCAAATGGTGGCTTTGGGACGTTAGCCTCTACATATTAATGAATGCCGAATGTTTCCGGCTGCTTTTCGGAGCACAGTACAACGATTGCACGCTTTAGAATGACTTCCGAGTTGTCAGCTAAATAAAACTGGGTTACTGCAGCCTTAAAGTGCTCTTTAGACTACGTAAATGACTGTGGTGAACAAATGAATGCAGAAGACATTTTTCCAAGTCTGACTATTGTGGGATACCTTTCGGAATTCGCCGTTTTCAGCTGCTCTGTTTCTTTTCGGCAGTTGCAATATGAATTTCAGTTTCCTGTAACTAATCCACGTCTTCGCAAATCCACGTCCTCGCAAGATTAACCTCGCTTGTTACGCTCAGCAATACTTCCTCGTTTGATTTTTACATAGACCCCGAAGTCAATAAAAATATTTAGAATCAGCGCCCGTCCTGGTAAGTACTTCCCGGTCTTCTCCTCGTCTAATGTAACGTTACACTAATTTAGCCCCTTCCCGTGTCACTTATGATACACTCTCTACGAGTTTGTCAAATTAACATCCCATACTTCTAAGGCAGTCAGTATTAAATTAAAAAAAAGGAAACGAAGCAATGTGTTGTTTTGTGTAAGCTTCGGTAAATATTTATACTTAGTGTGTAAATAAATATTTATTTTTCTGCAGCCAGTCATGCTCTACTCTGTGACGAGGAGAAAAAGAAATCATAGGTTCCTAATGTTTGCGCAAGCAGTGTTTGGTTCTATTCATTTCGGGAAAACAAAAGTAGGACTTTTGACTTTGACCTTTGTTGAACTTTACAGTAACTTCGCCAAAGTGTTCGATTACAGTCATACGCAGCACACTGAAGTTAGGTCAAGACATTCTGACCACGGAGAAGGTTCAGTTCATTTGATCAGCCATGCGCCTGGCTCTCTTTTTTTTCCCACAAATTCACACAACTAGCATAAAGAAGTTGCGTACACAAACGCAGCTACCACCGCTGAATAGGTTAAAGGAGCACTGACATCAAAATTCAAAATCTAGGTGCATCCTTCATTAAATTGCTCGGCGTGCTAGGTCCTCTTGGCCAGATTTAAATCCCGTCCGTCGCGCGGAAGTTATTTTATTTCAATGGCAAACAGCGTAGGAGAGCTAAATTGAAAATGGAGCACCCCTGCGACATTAACGCTAGTGGTAGGTGTCGGTGTGATATGTTTCACACATTTCATTTCGAGTGACGATGCGCTAGTAACGATGACGTCTACGATACGAGTGTTGTTATCATGGCGCCGACTGGCACCGAAGCCTGGAAACGCACTCACTTGTCATGTCTGATCTTCGCTGCACCGCTTTAAATAGTTTCGTAAAATTACAAAATGTAAACCACCTATAAATTAACGGTGGAAGAAAAGACCATCATTTAGCGCGTGCTCGTCAGTCAGCATATCGGGAAATCGTTGTGAATTGCAGTCGTCTGTTTCGAAGTGCGAAAAACCGCACTGACGGTGTTATTTTTTTTTACAGCATGTATGTTACACACCAACACGACCACAATCCATCGAAGTGGAGTAGCGTATAAACATATATCATGGCTAAGAAGTAACACGCAGGTATTCTTAGTGGATTTCAGCTCCTCCGTAGACACCTTTGAAAGGTTGGATTGGTGGGGCCATCTGGAGGCGCAAAGAACTTGGCAAGCAGGGAACATATTATATTTCTCTGCTGGTGTACATTCTTTATGCCGACATTTCATTGACCCCTTTACGTTTATCTGAAAGCTGTGCATGCCAAAACACAAACCAATATAGCTTATTTAGACGCAAGAGCGAGCACGGCTGAAGCATGTATCCTCGGGCACTTCTCATGGCTGCCTGGGACGGCGTCCATTTTGGAATTGCTGTTCTGCAAAAGGTCTATCGAAGCAAAACGTTCTCGCTACGTCGCGAATCATGGCGATTCCAAGCTCTAGTCTGTCGTATTCAACCCTAGTCGACATTTTGTACGGTGACGACGTCAATGCTCGTGACAAGGCATGACTGAACGTGTTCGCCTAGCAGTCTAAATGCTTGCGGAACAGCTGAAACTGACGTCAATCTTTTCCGTTAGAAAGTAGTTAGCTGTGGGGCGATTCTGAAGGTAACTGCGAGGTAACGTCACTGGTAGCGCTCCCAGAGCTACAGCCACTATACCAGCGCTAAGAATGGCAAGATTGCCGGCTGTTTGGAATCGTGCTAAATATAAATATCAATAAACGCGATATGTATTAATCCTTCAGCTGTGTTACAGGTCACGTATCGCTACTAGGGGGTCGATAGTTACTCGTTGACGCAAATTCTTGACATGAGTAATTTTGATGTCAGTGCTCCTTTAAGAAAGAACAAGCTTTATTACGTGTCTTGTTCAAAAAATGTAGTTTGTTCTCAAGCCTTGCACATCGTTGAATTGTCGCACTCACATTGTTTTTCAAGTTCTCGCTGAAGTCCGTCTCGGCTGCGTTCCCGCTTCTACGATGGTGACGGGATAAATACTGCTTTGTTCACAAAATACACCCTGGTTCTTGTGCGAATAAATGTTGTGTTCAAAGAAGGCTGGTGACGTTTACCACTCCACCTGACATTGTTCATAACATTTCTCTTGTCCTGTATTCTGGCTTTCATGTTATTACGTTTATAGAGATGTCACGCAGCAAAGGACGACACAGTTGTCTATAAGGAAAACAAGTTTATTGGAGCGAACCTGTGCTCCCCTAACAACCGAAAGAATACACAGGCGCCGAAGCAGCGGCCGGCAAAATGACGGGCACGCTAGTGAGCGTCGGCGGTCACTCAGCAGGGTTGGACCTAAGCAGCACGATGAGAACGTGGATACCATGATGGGTTTTTTTTAACTTCAGGCAAAAAAAAAATGCTTGGCATCACTGTGTAATCTGGGAGATTATGTAACTGATGCAAGTGAAAGTTTATTGTTAATTACCAGTGTAAAGAAAACTATTTTTACAACCAGTGTACATGATGTATGCTTCGTCGCGAAATAAAGTTGATATCGATGTTCCACGTTACAGTATGATAATTCAAATAATAATAACTCGTAAAGTGGCCACAAAATATCTTGTATAGTTTCCACACCTATACGAAGCTTGAGAAGTACTCGACGTTGCTTTTTTATATTCTTGAAGTTCAGTTTCTTGTCAGATTGAACCACCTCGAAGATGGCTTCATATGATCTCCACATACTGGCGGAAATCTCGTCAGGTTTAGTTGCTTTTACCGGAAGCAGTAGTGATCGGCGTGAACCATGCGGCTGGCTGACTCCTTGAAGCCCTGAGTGCTTGTAGCCAACAAATCTTGTAACAGGATTGCCAGCTGCAGCTGAGTCGAAAGTGCCGCGAAGAAATGACTGTGAAATGCGAGACAGCCCCACTAGTCGCGAGACGGGTGGTCTATAATAAATATGGTTAACGCCTGTGATATATGAATTGGTATAACAACGAAAGTGAAACGCGTCTTCACAGAAGCAGTTCAATGTTTCTTGTATATTGACATATAATGTCTATTGGTGTCTAGTGGCTACAGTACCATTAGTTATTGATGCAGTCAGGTCGACACCTGGTGGCACATACTCACCACCACGACAATTAACGACTCGTGACCAAAATACACTCTCCGGAGACACTGTCTTGTTCGCACCGAAGCACGCACAAATCACACTTGAACCACAGGCGTTCGCGAACCGTGCGAAAAATCTTTTACTGAGCTTCCCTGTTTTATATAGATGTCGTTGTCTCGATTTCACAGGTTTATTTGTTGTTAATTGACACTTCCATTCGCATTATGGCACAGGGCTCCAGATGTTGCACTGCCTGAAGGCTACGGAAAGCGAGAATGCTGGTGGCAAGTCCTTCTTTGTGGATGGCTTCATGGTGGCCAACTGGATGCGCGACAACAGCCCAGCCGCCTTTCACATCCTCTCCTCGACGCCGGTCCAGTTCAGCATAATCTCGCACAATGTTAGTAACCCTCCCTGACGGTGATGTCAGTCATATATGCTCGTACCATGTAATTGAAAGTGTCTGTCATACTGAGAGAAACAGAAGTAGCGTTGACGTTGTGCAGTTGGTCTTGGTGGAATTATCGGCCTATCTGTAAGTATCATGTTCGCTAGGCAACAGCACTTCAAATACTGGTGGCACAAGATGCTGGCATGTGCTAACGACGCGCTCCACTTCGAGCGTCCGTAAAAAAAAAAACTTAAATTATCTCACCGACGGGTACTCTCATGGGATGCGAAGCAACAGCGTTGCGCACGGGTGGTGTCAGGGGTTAAGCGGCGCTAACGTGGGTGCTGCTGTGAGCGCTGAAAGATTCGTTTGAAGCGATGGCGGGCGTACGTTTTGGAGGTGACAGGTAAAGACGTGTTTCAACGCGTACGTTAGGCACGTGTCAGGTTTATTGCGCGTGAGCCAGCGAGTAGGCAGTGTAGCGAGTGGCGGTCGCAGCAAGTATTGCGGGCGAACGGACGAGGGGGCCGCTGCAGACCACGCGGCGAGCGCGCGGCAGGCGAGGGAGAGAGTAACGTCACTGCGAACTGCGAGGAGAGCGTGACGTCAACGCTTAGCTGAGGCGTGACCTACTTGGCACCGCTCCAACACTTTCCGCATGGGGCACGTTTCTGTGGAGGGACAGCGTTACTCAGGCTAGTTAAGGAGCTGCTTCGTATCTAAAACCTCCACACGAGCGGCAAGCAAAGCACAAAGCGGGGCCGTAGCCAAAGGGGAGTTGATCAACCTATATGTATGTTCGTGTCTGTGTTCGTGAGCGTGTGTGTGTGCGTATATATACACGTGTAAAACTGAATGATTTTTCGTGGAAAGGGGGAGGGGTGTCAATGGAGCACAACGCATCACCTGAATTTATGTGGCCTCACATGACGCGCTTAGAGACCAGTGTCTCATGGAATAACCGCATTACATGCTATGAGAAGAAGCCGACGAGGTCTCGAATAACTAGCGAGGTATACAATCTAGGAACCATGTGGGGAGTTGGGCTCGTCAGTGCGTACTTAAATGAACCTGTTCAAAGTACAGTTTCTTTGGGTTAGCATGAAGTTTATTGGGTAGACGGGCAGAGGCTCACCCTAATATAAATATTTTTAAGGCATAGTCCTTAAAATAGTGTGTGTTGAAGTCCCGGCACAAAAAAAAAAAAATGTGTCTGAAAATGTGAGAGCACCAGCTGCGCCATACGCTGATGTAGTAGCCCAGTAGAGGCGTGAAGAAAGATGATACGCGTGCTTCACTCCAGTCCTGCGGCGGGGGCCCTGCCAAACATTCTCAGTCTCTATTATGGAACGGGGTAAACGTGAAACTAGCGTTCTTTTCCACTAGGGGCCGGGCCCGGTACGACTGATTCTGCTCGCTTTGCTGTCGATTCTTGCGCTTCTGTCGCATTTTGAAAAGTTCATTGCACGGTGCCTGTACTGTACGTCACCCGAGGGGACGTAGCTTCATTTTACATAGCTATAACCCCAACTAGGCCACCCGTTCCCTATCGTGGTAATTTCGGTGCATCACTACCAATTTTCGCAGCAACAGGCATTGTGTTGGCTGGTTACAATGTCAGTATTTTTTTCGACTATAATGTTGCAGCCATAGTAAGCAGGCAACGCTATTCGCCATACATAAGATACACCCTTTTCTAAAGAACTTAGGCTTACGTATATACATCATTCTGTACCTCGTTATTTACATGCTCAATGTGCTCTCTCTCAGTTTACTAAGGTGTATAGGCTGTCACGCACATTAAAGTTGCTTCTTGTGACAGGTGTTATCTTCTACTTTGTTTATCTCTTTCACTAGCTGTGTCCTATACCTGTTGCAAGAACAAAATTATACACTGATGAAATGCCTTGTGGTACCTCTGTCATCATCTTCTGCAAAGTTCCGCATGCCAATTTTTCCAGGATTGGTCCATTTGTTGCATTGCATAATGCGTTACGTTGCAGATAGACACATGATTTATGGGTGAAGAGAGAGAGAGAGAGAGAGACGAGAAAAAAGGAAGGCAGGGAGGTTAACCAGATGCTAGCATCCGGTGTGCTACCCTACACTGTCGTTGGGGAATAGTGGGTTGAAAGAGAAAAGGAGAGTTAGATGTCCTACAATGCTTACGAGGTGACATTTCTGAGGCTACAAGCTCTAGCAGCGAGAACCTTGGAATGAATTTTTTATCCTTTTGGACCTAACTGGGCCCTTCTGAGTGTGACACTCAAAAGCACGGAGCTGATAACAAAGCACGTCGGAGTGATTGCGTGACCGTCTGGTCACTTCAACAACTCTAGGCAGCGAAGATGGTTTGTGCGTCATTTTATTTTTTTTTCCTTTTTTGAATTTCATTGTAGCGCACCACTGAGGGCTAGAAGAATCCGAGCAGGAGAAGACGAAGGTGACGCAACAAGCACACGATGGTCACGCCAAGTCCTGTTCGCGTCTCCATGAATGGTGTCTTACGAAATACATAATTTTTGGTGCAACAGTGTCGACATATGTCTTCCGGTTTGCATGTCATTAAGGAGTCGGCCTTTTGTGTGTGCAGATGCGGTACAGCCAGACGAAACCGGTCATATGCGTGAACAAGGACGGGCACGTGTGCGAGATCCACTACAACAACCGCACACTCGCGCCCGTGCAGACATCCCCGCACCTGGTGGCGCCCCTGTACCACGCGCTAAAGTGAGTACCGTCTTCTTCTACAGTAAAGCACCACTAATGAGCAAGCCCAAGCAAGTGGAGGTCACTACTGTAAAGCGAGAACACACTCAAAATGTGCCAGAAATAGTTGGCGAATGTTTGTGTGGCAGTTCTTTTTAATCGTCAATGTAGTTTTTGATGCGCTTCGAACATTAGAAACAAAGCAGAACAAACAAAGTGAACATAAACACTAGAAGGAACCGAGAATACAATACGCGAATACTCGCCTTGCACACTTTAAACTGAATATTGTAATTTGACTTTTTTTTTTGTCAGAGTCGAGTGCCAATGGCTGTGACGATTTGAAAAGGCACCTAAACCATCTTTGCAGATCAATATACTCACTTGCCAGTTATGGGACCCAAGTGAAAGTCAACATGTCTGTTTAGAGGCTCTTGTATGCGTAGCTCAAGTCGAGACTTGCCTCCAAAAAAGAAGAACGCATACGTTTTCTCTAACTTTCTAGAGTGTACAGTTCGATGAAAAGCAACTAGTGAGCGCCCATAGGCTTGAAGTCTCCTAACAGCTTTTTGAAAAAAGCTTTATTTGAACGCATGAAAGATCAATTTGTCGCTGTGAAAGCTATGAAGCAGCATCCCGAGCTTTGAAATGTATTTGTTTGCACAGGCGAGCTTTTGAGGGCTAAGTGCCGAGACGGCCGCCGCCAATGATAACGGACCGACGATAAAGATGCAGACGATTGCTTCAGCCGCGGTGCGTTTTGAAGTCGCACTTTTCTTATACTGGAGTCGGTATATATGCTATATGCTACCGTTTTACGTGTTAAACATGACCAATCTCATTTTCGACAGCTTTTTGGCAGACAGCTGCCTGTGAATTAGCAAACCAAAGTATATTGAAATAAAGATTGAGTCTCATTGAAATCGTTGAGCGACGTCACACACCGGGCGAGGAAGAAACGTTGGAAATAGGGCGTTGTGGAAACGTCCTCTCTTTACTTGTCTGTAGGACCTCAGGCAGGATTATTTCAGCTAGGTATAAAGCTGTGTTCCATCTCAGTGGTAGGAGTGGTGGTAAGGCTTGTGTGTGTGTGGAGGGGGGGGGGTGTATGCCCTTTGGTAACCCCTGTCAAACCCACATGCCGCTCCCATTATTTAGATCATGCTACACACAATTCACACTTACAAGGCTACAGATAGGACACACACACTCGACACATTCATACCTTTTGTCTGGTGACGATGCACCATTGTGTGAGAGATGTGGAGAACCACTCATGGTTCTCCACATCCTCGTCCAGTGCAGTGATTACATTCTCTCATCCCTACCGACAACAGATACCTTTTCACCCATCAATGTTCGTCTGTAGAGAACCCCTTTTTCCTCATAAATCATTGCTGGCATTTTTAACAGATGTATGTACTTTTAACGTCATACACCCAGGCGCTCCGTAGCACGATCTCTAAAGAGAGGTCGCCGCCGCGGTGGCCGCATCTCTGTAACTGTCCCCCTATCACGACACCTCGTCATTTAGTATTATTGCACATATTTCACATCAATGTCATGGTTTTAATGCTTCTATGTTTTTACCCGCATTAGCGCGAAAATTTTAAGGCCGTTTTACAGCCACTTATCGTAACCATTGCTCGCATCACTAGTCCATTGACCTGGCGCTCTTTGGTTAAGAATGGCTATCAAACGGCTCTTGCGCCATAAAACGCCACAAATCATCATAATCATCATCTTCATCATCACATACTTCTCCACAACGCTTCGGCAATTGTGATAGTATATTATTTCTTCCTTTTTTATCGTTGTGTGCAATTTCGCTTAAGCTGTGTCATCATTTCTCTTACGCACACATGGGACAGTATATGTAGCATCAATATCGCAGCGGGTAAACAATCGCAACGGGTAAACAAACGCAACTGTTTTCAGAAGTCCAACATCTGAAGATAGCGCCTTTCATTGTTGTGTTACTTATTACAGGTACACTTTTATAAGATGGGCAGTGAGGCCGGAGCTTCATTTGGCAACACGTATTCCTCTCACTAGTTTTATGTTAACTTCTCAGTAGTCCATGGACTCACACTGGAGGGTCGCCATAAGTTCGTCAGAGCAGCCAGCTTTTGTTAGGGGACTAATTTGTCCCCTAATGTTTTGTTCCATATTGTGCCCACAAGACCTTTTAACAATAATTTTAAGCAAAAATTGAATAATGGCCCTTTAACAAGTTTCAAATGGGCTGAAGCGTGTGAAATGTCTTAAAATTAACTTAACACCTGAGTTTTATGGATTACCATGATGCTTGGTAATGTATGTTTTGGATAGGTATCGTATGAGTTCTTAAGAAATCCGAGCATTTATTTTGGAGCCTGCGTACACTACATATCTAAGGTGGCGTAGGGAGTTTCAGATGTGTCGATTCGTTTAGAGTATATATAAAGCATGCGAATAACTTTCGGCTGCTTAAGCAAAACTTTTTCTCAGTAATAGTCATCAATGATAGAACACATCTAAAGCAGCAGGAGACAAGGCCATTTTCGTTTCGAGGATCACGCGGTATGAGTGACGGTTTTATGTGTGAAATTCCTCGTGAGTGAGAAGTAATGCCGGATAACGTATAATAGACTGAATCTGAGTTTCATTCAAATTGTGGCAAAAATGAATGCTATTTATTTCTTTATTATTTATTAACGCAATACTCGCAATTCTATCACAGGCATTACACTGACGGGAAATGCTATGGGTCATAAAGTAGGCACAATAAATAATTGCATACACAGCCAGTATGTAGAGAAAGACATGGTGAGAAACCACAAAGCCCAAGGTTAACCTAACAGAAATCATATAATTTGACATTTCATTAACTGCAACAGTATACAGTCAATCTATTCCACTTCCATATTTTCAAGGAAGAAACAATATTAATGAGAACTAACTGAAAATGCTGACAATGCTGCCAAACTTACACTTCTTTCCTTCATTCAAGGACGAAACAATACTCTGAAGGATTCTGCATTGCAAAGCGTTGCACGCGCCTTATGCGAATAATCACATGTGAATACATAATATTATTTTTTATTTTTCTGTTTTCTAAGATGAAATTTCAATTGAGGAGCTGCCTCTACTGGCGGTGCCACATGCGCACCTCAGTAAGGCTTTCCATATACAACAAAATTTATAAAAAAGCAGCTGTGCAAGTTCAGAGCAATACATGTAACAATGGGTAAGCATACAGGATGTGAATAATGCTCTATGGCGTACAATGCGCAGGGAGTTCGCCATGAAGCTCCGTGACCCCAACTCTGAGCTCAGCTTCAACATGGCCCCTGGGGATCTGGTCGCATTCAACAACCGCCGCGTCCTACATGGAAGGACGAGCTTCGATCCCACCAGGGTCACCAGGTACGTACTTCACGCATCCATATACCGTAGAATCGTTCTTACGCCGTGTAACTATTGGCCGGAAGTGACACATCGTTGTCATTGTCTGTGACTAGGTTAGAGTGGCAATAGGCTTGGTTATAGTAAGCTCGCACAGCTAGTCAACTTCAGAAACCGTGCGCTTACACTCTGAATGTATAGGTGCTGTTAATGCAAATCGTGATATTGCGAATTGCTGACAGAGACAAATAATGGATGCACATTCACAAGGGTGTTGGATCGTGGTATTTTGTCAATATGTTGCACTTATTTACCACGCCTTAAAAACCCTAAAAGGCTCTGTGTGAGGGGCACGCGCGATACAGGTTTAACAGAAAAATACAATAATATTTGAAGGAAAACGACTGTGATGATATTGCCATGAATGTGCTCATAGTTCACTTATAGAAAAAAATACAGGAAGCTCTTACACTCTGAATGTATAGGTGCTGTTAATGCAAATCGTGATATTGCGAATTGCTGACAGAGACAAATAATGGATGCACATTCACAAGGGTGTTGGATCATGGTATTTTGTCGATATGTTGTACTTATTTACCACACCTTAAAAACCCTAAAAGGCCCTGTGTGAGGGGCACGCGCGATACAGGTTTAACAGAAAAATACAATAATATTTGAAGGAAAACGACTGTGATGATATTGCCATGAATGTGCTCATAGTTCACTTATAGAAAAAAAAATACAGGAAGCTCCATTCATACTTTACATGTGTCCACTTGTAATCTGTAATCATGCGTAGCTTCACTTTCAACGTAGACCTAAAAATGTACAGCAAGAACTGAAATGTAGCCTTGTAGCCTCACATGTTCAATACATATTACGTACGTACCTCATAATTTGTTTTCTAGCTACAGTTACTGATCGCCATGCAGTAAGGGATTGAAATCTGGATTTCTTAAAATCTGAACTTACCAGGACGTACTCTGCACTTTTAAAATAATTTGTAAGGGCGATTGACCTTAGGGTAGAGGCTTTTTCGTTCATATCCACATACGTCACGATGAGATTCGTGGATGTAAGACACACAAAAGAGGTTTAACAACCAACTCATTTCGAAATTGTGGCCGAACACTATAAGAAACCTACATGTACAAACTATTCATACTAGTCAGTGACTACGACGTAGACAATATGCACCTTAAGACCTAGCTTTGCACACTCGTCATCATTCACTTCGTGGACATGCGTGAGTTTTTTTTTTTCACCAGGTTGTACCAAAGCGTGTTTGCAATCACGCTAACATAGGCCATTTCACAGGGCATATATTGCCAGTGCACTGCTTCATTACGTGATGTTTGCAGGCATCTCGAAGGCTGCTACGCCGACATTGATGAAGTTTTCACCAAGTACCGAGCCATGCGCTTCTCGAGGTCGTGATGTTAAATTGTGCTCGGCCACATCATCCACATTGACATCGGTGGCGCCCTCCGCAGCTGTCATGGATGTCTTCATCCTCAACGGCGAAGGCAACATCGACCAACTTTCAAGATTGTAGCCAACCATAAGCTGCACATTCGTGCTCGTTCTAGAAAATTAGCAAGTGTTGCTGTTTCTTCTGACCAACGTATTGCCCGCTTAGAGGGTAAAAAGGAAAGGCCTTAGGGGCTTAAGCTGACATAGGAAATTCGTTGCCGTATCGAGATTTATCGGCACTATTGAACGTATCCGCTTGATTGTGATAGCATTGCGTCACTTAGCCGCAAGTAATTGTTGTTTTTTAAACGACAGTAACAACATGCCTTACCGTTCTGTATGTTCTGATTAAGATAATGTTAGAGTCATTGATTATCTTTTCGCATTTTTACCCGCTTTCTGCCATAAATGGGCAGTTTGATTTTTAACAATGTTGCATGGAGACCAGATTTTTTTTTTCGCATGAGCTTGTATTTGTGCTGTGCGCATTGTAAGTGTGTCATGTAAATATACATCAGTGTTACAGTTCACAGTCCATGGAAGTTGTGCTTTTTTCACCCTAAGCCAGTGACACAGCTGTGCTTTCATACATGACCCTGTTGCTGGTTGTATAGGAAATAATGTTCGGGAATTTTTCGGACGTATGGAATAAAAGTTTGAGTGTATATACAATAAATAATATTCTCGTATTCACGCTGACGGCAATAACAGAAAAAAAGGAGGAAGTATATCGCACCATGTTGAGACACCATTGACTTTTGTAAGACAAACTATCAATGTACCAAGGCAAGCGACGTTAAATTCTAGCAGGGCTTGCAAAATTGTTCTTGAGACACAATGAGTCTGCAAAACAGGCCTCCGTTAAAGTGGCCTTTGTACCTCCTGAAATGCGAAACCTTCCGCGTTCACAGTTCAGAGAACATATAGACCTTAGTAGGCTTCAGGGACGACATTCAAAGAAATTATTCAATGCTAGTAAAGCTATCTAGGCTCCCAGCTACAGGCAAAGAACCACAAATGGTCACCATCACGAGTTAAAACATGGCGAGTTGAAAATTCATTTTTTTCTCGAAGCCTGCTTCTTCAGAGTACGCATAAAAAGAACATTGCTTGAAATTACGCATGCACCTAGTTTGAAGAATAAACCATATTGTTATAAACAGTAACAATTGAGGGCTTATGTTTGTAGATGATGATCATTATTCTTCTGGTGAGTCTTACAAATCAGTTCTAAAACACAGGACTCGGCTAGTAAATGGCCACGCTTTGCTGGCAAATTTTTTCTCTCTCCTGTAAGAATTCAGAAGGCCTTACAGTATTATCCTGGAATACTTGCTTCTTCAATTACGTGATAGATTTTCCTAGCGTGTCAACTAGATCAAATGATATACCTCTAAATGTTAAAAAAGTGTCTGCAAAAAGTGTCTACTCCTGTTAAAAAAGTGTCTGCAATAGATTGCATGCTGCAGAGGCTGCACAAGTTTTCATGTCTGAAAATAGAATGGCTGTGGCTACTGGAAACATGGCCCGAATTCTTTCAACCACATAGCGGGCATAAAGTGCCTAGAATTATACAGTGAAGAATCTTTATTGCCTTCGAAATACAGATAATAAGCAGCAGCATACAGGGTATTCTGGGTATATTTTGAGAGAGAGAGCAAGAAAAATAGAAAGGCTGATTGAAGTTGACCTCAACGTACAAAAAAAAAGAGTAAGAAAACGGTTTGAAAGTGAAAAGACGGTGAAGAGAGACATGTGGTTAAAATCAGAAGTTGTCCTCGCCTTGGAAAAAAAAGGTATATAGCACCCCTTGGCCATTTCTCATCCTATTACTGACTTATTATGCTTCAACTGAATTTCTGCACACTGTAAATATGAGTAGCCCTTTGTCTCGATGATTCGAGCACTTTGACGACGCGAAACCTCATGAAAGATAGCATGCCTCTGGTTTTTTTATTGACAGACTAGCGCATAAGCGAGGGTCTTTTTTTGTGTGTGAGGACAAGTGGAGTTTCCTTTCTGAACACGTCAACGCCACACTTTATTCATACTTCACTTAAAGGGCTGATTTAATATGAAGGCACACGCAACGACATTGGCTTATTAGTGGACATCGTGACTAGGCGTAAATCAGTGACGATATACACCTAGTTAATGCAATCAAGCCTCCTACACAAGTTGTACAGCGCTGCAACTCTGTCAACAAATCCACAGGCACCATGAGTGCTGGCATTTCATGAATGAAAAGTACAGGGGACATAGTTCCAATTGTTTCAACCACATTGCAGACACCAGGCTCAAATGCCTTCGACTTCTCGAATACTCATTCTGCGCGATATTCTCACACTCCGCCAAGCACTCGAGTGAAGCTTTTGGTGGGACACGTGAGATATATTACCCCCTGTATCTGCCGTTTTGTATTTCTCTCTCTGCGGTCATTGAGTACTTTTGCTATTTCTTGCCCCGGCTTCCCAGATATTGATGAAATTTGGCCATATAAGACCAGTATTCACCATCTATGGCAATCTTAGATGCTCAGTAATTTAATGAATTGACAAAGCAGTTCTATTTTGAAAAAAGAGTATTTCCTCCTAAACAAAAAAAAAAGCTCGCAAGACCATAGGCGGATCACCCTTATGATGCTACACATTAATTCTTATCCGAATCTCGCTTTCATGCGCTGTCTATTTCCAAGTCACTTGAGCTCGCAGTGCCATCGCTGCGAGGGAACGTACGATTTAGAGCGCATGCTTTGGCGGTGCCACTCGTTACGGGCGGACCTCACAGAGCAGAACTGCAGCTCGAACCCTTAAGGGCTCGGGATATCTGCATCAACTTTGGGCAGCCCAGAAAGCCTATGATGTGGCGGTTAGGTTAGTTCTTACTGTCCACACGTGGGAGCGGCCCATGGTGTCGCCCTAGGGGGCGTTGCTTGTCCAGATCTTAAAAAGTTCTTTGTACGGTACCGCAAAGGACAGCCTGCAAAGGACAGCCTGCAATCCACCTTGAAGAATTGACAAAATTGCGTTTTTTTAAATACTCTCCTCGATTAAGCTTGCACGCAAGACTTCACAAGGCTCCGCAAGATTTCCAGACCGCGCGTTCAAAAAAACTCGCGTGACATTCGAGGTACCGACGTGTGGAAAGAGAACGGCTTCTATAGACGTCCTCATGTTACGTCACTATGACGTAAAAAAACTGTGAATATTCATGGAATAATTACGATGAGGTACTGCGTCACGTCAAGACACGACGACTTTATGTCATCGCTCGGTCAAAAGTGAAGTTGTGGGAAGCCGTGTCGACGAATGATGGGTCACGACATACAAACCCAACGACTCTGTTCAACTATAGCAGCAGCACTGTGTGACCATTCTGACACTCCCTTCGTCTGAGGTAGTGGAGTGATAATTCGCTACCAAGCTTGGCAGCTTAGTTTTGTTGAGACCACCGGTGACGTACTTCTTCAGTGACGCTGCGGTAGCACTGGCCCTCATCGCAGACGTAGTGCAGCGTGCAGCCGCATCAAACCTGGCTAGATAATATGAGCACGTGATGGCTGCGCCGATTCATGTGCAGATTATGTCGCCACAAAGTGATCCCGGGGATAGTTTGTTACCAGGTGATGGGTAGAATTCTTATTTCTGGGAGAAACAACGCGATCGAATGAGTACGTGAAGTAATGAGCACGTGTAATACAATGCCTCACCAATTATACAGCAGACTTCCGCATAGGAGTTTTCGGAGAATGTAACAAGCTGCCAACTTTTTTCGAAGTAGGATCATTGTTTCTTGGTAACTTGGCCGCTATCAGCTGGTGAATGTGCAGGGCCGCGGGAACTTGACATTGCTTGAAAAAAAAGTTCGTTACCTTGAAGCCCTTACGCTTCCTGAATATACATTTTACTAGTAAATCGCGCAACAAGCATGCAGTTAACTTTCTGACAGATGTTTTCTTCGCCCGCTATTGTCCATCTAAAGTTTCCATCCTCCTTTCTGCAGACATTCGTTTATCACCGTACTGACATAAAGCTAGCTTTTAGGACACAATTATTATTTGAAACACAATTGAAACACTATTTCTACAGTCGCTTTCTATCATCTAATGTACGAAGAGGAGTGTCACATTTTAACTGATGATAGCAAGCAATTTCGCATATACAGGCTGATAGCGGCAGACCAAAAATGGGAGAAGTGTATACTGCGAACTGACTTCTTTCATTGGCACTGATCTTCAATTCTAAGAGACGTTCTTCCAGATCGATTTGTCATTGGGGGAATTCTTCTCATTGATTATATTTCTGTATAATGGCGGGATAAAAATGTACTGAGGATGTTACAGCAAGTTTTCGGCAGGTGACATAGCGAGATATTCGCACTACAGTCGTCACCCAATGCACATCGTTGCGATCATCGCGTCACTGCAATGGTCGCAATGCTACAATTATACAATAAGTTTAGGCTTATACACATTGCATCTAACAGCCTATAAGCCTAAGTATTTGCGTCATGAGAGAAATTACTTGTCGATGAAACTATGTCAGAAGGAGAAAGGCAACGTTAGATTATTTAGAGACTAATACTGAAAAATGTGAGACACAGTGCTATGCGAAAGGCACTGGAGAGAAACTTTGAAGGCTATTGGCCCTTTGTATACGCTCAGACCTATAGCCAGCCACACTCAAATACGCCTTTGCACACACATGCTTTCACACCAGCCGTACCCACTATCTTCTGTTTTCGTAGGAAACAACTACACGTGCGAGTTGGGAGAAGTTTTTATACATTTGTGTAAAAGACGAATGTAACTATCAAATTTGTTAAATCTGACTATTCTTGTGTTTGGAGACAGTGGTTTGCCCCTAGTACTCAATTAAGCGTTACTCAGTTTCACTTTTTCTCGGCGCCTGAGCTCTTATACAGACAGCCACAGCTATAGCCCGCAGTTTGGTCTAGGCACAACACTCAACCTTGAATCATTGTATTGAGGTGGTGTTGCCCTCAGAGCACATTTTCTTTCAAGTTTTGAACAGATGCATGGTGTGGTACCGAACGAAAGAGTATTTCATGGGGTGTGGCAGTGTTGGAAAGTGTTTATTAAACGAAACTGGTGGGGACTACCACAGATGCTTTACATACTGGTTGGTGTCCCGGATCGGTCGAAACCTTCAGTTTGACTTTTTGGGCCTAACTGGACGTCCACACTATTTGGCAGGCCCACACTAATTGGTGGTTGTCAGCCATCTCACTGAAGGCCTTCATTGCTGGGCACAGAACCGTGTGCCCAGCAAGCGAAGCAGCACGCGTTCCTACGCTTTCCCTAGTCCTTTAGATGGATTCGGGTTCCGGAGATGGCTATTCTTATCATAAGATTCAATGTCTTTGAAAAATAAGACAATACACCCTTGTTAGTGGATCCAGGTCCTCAAGAGTCACAGAGGAAGCCCAGTACGTGAGTGTTCAGGCTGCCGCATCAGCCGCTTCATTTTCTCGAAGGCCCTAGTGGCCACGAGTTCAAACTATACAGCGGGGTGTAGAATAA